GAATCCTTTGTGATCTTTCACTTATTTATTTATACCAGTTGGTTACAAGTGTTGCATAAATTTCTATAAATTTGTAAAGCTTACCTGAAATGAGTCATATTTTCTAGTCAGGAAGAAATAGAACATAAAATTAATATTTCAAAGACAAAAATGTTTAACTAAGATGTATTTTAAAGATAAATTCAGACTTTCATATTATATTTAGCCATAAAAATGAAAAACTCACTTTAGTTAGGTAATGTACAAGAATAGCATAAAGCCAAACCAAAACCCATCAGTAAAAAATACAGTGACATGGGCTGGGGATTTAACTCAGTTTTTCTGCCACCTGCCTCACAAATACAAGGTCCTGAGTTCAATCCCCAGTGCAAAATATATGTATAGAAACAGTGATATGCACACAATATATGGAAATATTTTAATGTGATTAAACACATAAAAATCAAGAAAAGCAGATACTAGAGAGAAAAATTAAAACTAGAAAAGTTGGAGAAATAAAATATACCAGTGAAAATTTTATATTTTTTCAAAAATTACATGCTATTTATCAAAAAATGAAAAGAGTACCAAATGACTTGCCACAGAGAAATGATAAAGATGTATTTGGGTGGATATACTAATACTGTTGAGCTGATCTCTATTCATATGCATAAATCAATTTATCACAATCTACCTCATAAATCTGTGTAAATATTGTCATTCAAAAATTATAATAAGATAAACAGACATTTGATTCTATAACCAGTCAAAGTTGAAAGAAAAGAAAAACTTACCATGACATTACAGAGACTGAGGGAAAAATGAAAAAGAATTAGGAGGTAAATGAAAGTTAAGAATTTAAACTGTGGTGAACTAGCAGTTAAACTACAGAAATATTTACACTGAAATAGGATAAAAAATCCTTCTTTTGGCTTTGGCTGCTGCTGTGAAACAGACGTTACAAGTATGGCTCTGCCCCCATAACCAGGTGTATACATGGCTCGAGTGTGTTTCAGTGATAGAAAAATTTGAGTAAAAATTCCTCCTGTGGCATCTTGCCACCTCATGCCTGTTGAGGTGATGTTGGTTGAGATATTCAGCCTCAGCCTTTCATTTGGCTTAAAGCTCAATGTGAACGTTAGGGTTGTGGCTTAGGGTTAGGGTTACGGTTAGTGTGTGGATTAAGAATGTAATAGATGTGGTTTTTCTATAAAATGGAATATTAGCCATAAAGATTGAGAAATTACATTCCTTCATAGGAAAATGGATGCATATTGAGGATATACTTCTAAGTGAAATAAATAAGTCACACATGTGTAAATACCGAATAGTGTTTCTGGTGTGAATAAACTGTAATAGTAATAAGATCCTAATGAGATAACTGACAATGTGAAGTAGAAGAAAAGGGCTAAAGGTGAAGGGAAAGTGGGAGGGGCTGGGGAAGGGAAAATAATCAGTGAGCAACAGTCGCTGTCAGCTGTGCTCCTGTGAGCCCTGTGGAGAGCAAACCTTTCTGTGACCACCGGCAGGGAGTTCAGCGACAGCTTCTTTGCCTTTCTCCTGACATCTTCAGGTTTGTAGTGTTCTTTAAAAATAATATTTTTCTTGTTTGCCTCACTTATTAGAGTTTTTAAGTAAAATATTTGCAAAGGAAAGAATTGACAATTAATTTACAATATGTGGCAGTGATTAAGTGTGGATTGAGAAGAAGAAAAAAATACACTTTACTTTAAAAATATTTTATTTCTATTCTTATATTGTCATGTTAAAATTTCTCTTTGATATTTTAAGGTTATTTTATTATACACAGCTCCATTTTCCAAGTGAGTTTTTTCACTGCAACTTGTTTAAAAATATTACAATGATTATTTTACTCCAAACGGGATTATAAAAATATCTTTTAGAATTTTTAGTTAGTATCATGAAAAAAAATTCATCATTTTAGGTGCCTAAAATGCAACATGTCTATTTTAAGGATTAAGTTTCACCAGTGTTTCAATAATTTAAAACTGTTAGTGAATTTACCCAAATATTTAAAAATATACTCTATTACACAAATTTTCAAATCAATGACTAAATTATGCCTTTCTTGTATCAATATTACATCAGACCATTATTTCTTTTCCTTTTATATTTTCTAAAATCTGTATTTGTAGTTATTACAGGTTGCTTTTCATTTTTACCATGATTAAGAGTTTAATATGTATTTCTGTTACATATATTGTTTGGGACCTTCTCATATTACACAAATATCTTAGAAATTTCATATATTCACGGATTCTTTCCCCTTTCCAGTTGTTTTTAAAGGATGATATCTACCTTATTTCCGTGTTTGTAAATTTTTGTGATATAGAAAATACAATGTAGCATTTTTTATTATATCACTTTTTGTTAATGGAATGTAAGATTTGTAGAACACATCTAAGTTAAAAAATTATTTAATGATCATTAACTAAAGCTACATCAATTTATTACCCAGGGAGGAATGCATCTATAGTGTTACTACATGAGAATAATATGATGCAGTGGGCTACTGGTCTGTGCAAGGCCTTCAGAGTAACCAGAGCAGCGCTCAGACACTGGGCATCCAAGCAGCCAGCAGCCAGGCCTGGAAATCGAGGCCGTGGGGCCATGATCAGGTCCTGCACAAAGATTATGCAGACCCCACTTTTTCCCCTCACCCTGGATCCAAGAGCAGAGAGGATGAGGGGAGCTGTGGTCCAGGTTCATCAAGGGTAAACCTGGTAGAAGACAGAGGTCACCAGGGAGGTTGGAGCTCAGCTCCAGACTGCAGGAAATGGTCTCTCCCACCTAGACAGAGGCTGAGCAGGAGACACAGGGAACGACAACGTGACTTCCATGTTGCTCCTCCTATGAGGCCCTGTCCCACCTTGGAATTCTAGAGTAAAGCCTCCCAACAGGAGCATGCAGGTGGGCAAGGGTGCCAGGCTTAGGATCCTGGGACCTGAGATTCAGCCAGAGACAGGTTAGGAAACAAGCTCTGACCTTTCCAGGTGCTGTGGCCCTAGAGGGAGAGTCCCTAACGCTAAGTAAAGAGGCCAGGGGAAGAGGCCTGCACCTGTCCATCTTTTTCCTGACCCCGACTCCTCTCCAGGGCAGGTTTTCTCTGTCTGCTTTTTCAAAATTCCTTCACAGGAATAAAACATACTCCTTTTTAAACTTCTTTCTTCTAATTCTTTTTTGGTACTGAGTTTTCCATCAAGCCAGCCACTCACCCTGAATGCTATACTCCCCTAATGAATCATGCTTTTAATTACAATGTATTTCCTGATGAAAATTTTATCATTCCATCAGTGATAACGTCCGTCATAAACATGTTCCTGGAAATGTAATCTACAATCACTTAGTCAAGAATAAGAGCAACAACAAAAAATACATCAAAAGAAAACTAAACAAAACTACGTTGAGACTACTAATGAGTGTACGCACTGTACTTCCCCAATTTAAATAATTATGTGACAAAAAGTGAATAAAGTTGAGCTACAGTTCAGAGCACCATGAGAGAATGTGTTTCTGCTCTCCTGTGGAACTCCCTAAGAAACAGGGAAAATCCTTTGCCCATTTTCCCTTAGAACATGGGTCCTTGGCCTCAAGCCCAGTGCTCGTCCTTGGATTTGGGCCCAGAGGACGACCACGTGCTGCAGGGCCCTGCGTGCTCCTCGATGGGCCCTGGAAAGACCAGGCAGGGGAGCAGGGTGCACGGAGTTGTGGTTAAATGCACACTTGCTGGCTGGGATTCTTTTCAGAAGAGACAGCCTGGCTAAGTGTCTGTGTGATCAAGACCTGAAAAATCAGTAGGGTGATTTAATTTACTTGAGAACTAAAAAAGGAATGCATAAAAATATAACAGTGACATATCAAAATTATGAAAGTAATTTACATATATGAAAACGAATATCACAGAATGTCACCGGTCCTTACATTCTTATATTTTATATCAGAAAAAATTCTAATTTTCAAAGTTCTACACAGACTGCATGAGAAAATTTGTTTTCACCAACATGAACTCACAGTAAGTATGATGGTTAAAATTGGAGTGCTTCTGAAAAGATATAAAATATTAACTAAATAGTAATATATTAAAAGCAGGAATAGAGAGCCGAGACTGACCATGTAAGGTACAAGATCCCAATGGTGAATGTAACTGTACTGTATCCCTACAATGTACCAATAAACTCAGTGAGAAAAAAAAGCAGGAATGGAGAGAGGATAAATTGTGATAAGCACTGCAAACTGTAACCTTAGAGCTTAGTTTGTTTTTCTGTCTCTTAGAGAAAAGTGGCTTCCTAAGGCCAACGGCAAAAACAGGCTGCTGCAGGACTGAGGAGCTACAGCCTATGTTTAAAAATATCTCAATGTACAGAAAGTTATTTTACCCTCTAATGGTGATAGACATATTCAGCAATTCTACATCATATGCAGTGTATAATCTTTGTGGGCCTCACCTAAGTTTCCTAAAATGTGAGATCCTTTGGAAATTGATGCCCAAAAGCACTGGGAACTAAGTGAAAATAAAAAGTAAACTGAAGTTAATTTCCTTATACTTTATTCCATACCCTTGCTTAAATTCACAGAAACAAGTTATCAACAGGAATACAGAACAGTCAGCATTCTCACAGAAGCCAAATTATCTTAGAAAATTCCATTGATAAGAAGTAACTGCTCTGATTACATGAAATTTATTTTCTGTGTCCCTCTTCTGATCTCAAAATCAGTACAGTGACTGTGACAAAAAAAACTTATATGTGGATGAAATCTTTTAATAATGAAAATATTGAGTGTATTATATTGAAGCTTATTCTAGAGGACATGAATTATTATCATGTCAGAAACAAATGTCAAACCATACCATATCCATCTATATCACACATTGGAATATTTTGTTCATATTCAGTAAGTTTTTCTCAATTCGAAGGAAAAGTAAACTAAAAAATATAACGGCTGGGCCATTTAAGCAAATGCAGTCTGTTTTCAGGTATTTAAGCTGTGTGGAATTTGATTTCTGCATAGTTTACAACAGTGCACCATGAGTAGAAAGAACACTACCAATGCATCTGGCTTCATCCTCGTGGGGCTGACGGACTCTGCAGAGACACAGCTGGTCCTCTCCGTGCTCTTCCTCCTGATTTACCTGATCACGGTGCTGGGGAACATGGGGATGATATTGATCATTCACCTGGATCCCCAGCTGCACACCCCCATGTACTTTTTCCTCACTCACCTATCATTTATCGACCTCAGCTACTCAAGTGTCTTCACCCCTAACACCTTACACAACTTACTGACTTCCAACAAGAGCATCTCCTTCCTGGGCTGCTTCACCCAGATGTTCTTTTTTATCCTCTTGGCTGGCACTGAGTTTTTTCTTCTCTCCTCGATGGCCTATGATCGCTATGTAGCTATCTGCAACCCTCTGCGCTATCCAGTCGTTATGTCCACAAGACTGTGCCATACTCTGCTTGCTGGATCCTATGCTATTGGATTTCTTGATTCTACTGTGACTGTGGTTTTCATGAGCAAACTTCACTTTTGCCAGTATAATGTCATCCAACACTTTTTCTGTGACTCATCCCCTATTTTAGCCCTGTCCTGCAGTGACACATCCAAGGTAGAAATCACTATATTCATTTTTGCTGGATCCACTATAATGCTGTCCCTCTTCACCATATCTGGATCCTATCTGTCCATCCTCTCCACCATCCTAAAAATTAATTCCACTGCTGGAAAGAAAAAAGCCTTCTCCACTTGTGCCTCCCACCTCCTGGGAGTCACCATCTTCTACAGCACTATGATCTTCACTTATCTAAAACCAAAGATGTCCTACTCCTTGGGAAGGGATCAGGTGGCTTCTGTGTTTTACACGATTGTGATCCCCATGCTAAATCCTCTCATCTACAGTCTCAGAAACAAAGAGGTGAAAAGTGCTGCTGTTAGAATCCTGCAGAAGAGAGATGGCTTCAGGTGGTTGGTATCCCAGTGGTGCTAAGCAACTCCACTTGTCTTTGTTTTTAACAGGAAATTACGTAGTCCGTTTTTTAACCAGAAATTGTGCTTTTATTTACTCCTTTTTTTCCTTTCCAGCTATCGTATCCTTATCAAATACCACAGTGGTCATTTGCAAGCCCAGATTTTTAGATATTTTTATTTCATCTGGCCATCATGAAACATGTGTTAATCTGTGAATACATACACGTGGCTACAGAGGCAGCCAATGTGGAAAGCAAAAAAATATGTTTGTCTTATATTTAATGACAACATACCATATTCATGCATGCTCCATTTTAGCAAAATTGATATTAGTCATTCTGCTGATAATAGAGATTAATAGCAATAATGTTCTGAGAGATGGCTTGAAAATGAAGACTCAGGCAGTTGCATCCTAGATTTGCCAACTCTTTAGCACACAAGTCAACACTTTTTCACTGAAATTCTAACCCTCAGTATCGACAGCTGCACACAATATATAGTAATTCCACTTCCATGTGGTCAGAAAATGGCTGAAAAATATGGAAGGTGATAACAATGAACAATGTCTATCATCATCGGATGCCTTGCCTTAGTCTAATATTTATTACATAATATGTTTTTGAATAACACTTCTTCATGTTGCATGAATGTTTTGTTAATTTAGTCTATAAACATAACACCTGAAAGGAAAAAAAGCCAGGACTTCCCAATTTTGGATTCAAAATAAAGTTAAATATTGAACTATCATGAAGTTAGAGGAAAATAATTTGTTCTAATTTTGAAGACAATTTGGAAAATGAAAATCACTAGAGAAAAGAAAAATGTAGCATTGATTATTAACATTCCTGTGCCTGTTCTTCTAGATCACTGGTTGTGAATATATGTCTATATATTCAATATAATTTTTCTGCACATTACTGTATGGTATTTTCTTCTATATTTCATCTAAAACTGTATATTCACTAATCTGTGTAACTGTATCATGCAAGATTAAAAGGGTTTCATTCAGACTGTTAGTGAAAGCACTTTAATACATTTATAAGATGTAGCATTTTCTTAAATCATTGTTATGTATTGGTATGAATTAGAAAATTTATACTATTGATTTTTGTTTGCAAAGCTGTGAATAGTTTCCCTCACTTGGTAGTAAATAGTTAAATTGAAGAAATACCTAAATGCTAATTAAATTAATGCTACTTTATTCCATAGGGTAAAAAGCATTTATATCATGCTATTAAATAAGCATCATATAATACTTGATCATAAGAAACATTTAAATGATATGCATTTGCCCAATCGTGTACTTCTCATATCACTACGTAGCTCATGTAATGGAAGTTATTTCTCTGAAATAACGTGAGATCTCAGCCTCTGTCACAGGGCCAGGTCAATGTGCTGTGGAATAACAACACGATTTTTTAAAAGCCCATAATGTAGCACAGCAAATGATGAACACCTGGCTTTGCTTCCTCATAATTAGTGCCTAGACAGCAAGACTGCTATTATCAATTACTAAAATAGATGTCATTGAAATGTGTGTGTTGTTTAATATTTTGTAGCTTCTAATGGAAGAGACTGTGGTGGCATTGGGGGCTAGAGCTTCAAAGACGCAAGAATAAACTTAGATACAGAAAATGCACTTGATGAGGGAAATACTGGCAGACGCTGGATGATGACGCCATGGAGATCATATAAGGAAACCGTTTCCCTAGTGTGATGAAACCTTCAGGAATTGACTCACTCAATACAAAACAGTGTCAGTGGCTGTCACCTGAATTTATCCTGTTTCATCCTCACCCTGTGGCTCAGATTACTTTTGGGTTAGCCGTTTTGGCAGGAAACTCAGTGCTCGGGTTCTTGCGTCTTTGGCTCTGTTATCTTCTCCCACATTGTCAGAGGGAGTTCATCCAATATCCAGTGTGAATCACAGGTGAGGATTTGTTTTACAAAGGAAAACCACTGTGCAGATTGTATGCATATGAATGCTTTTCATAAAATACTTTAATGTATTAAGTAGACATTACTCCTATTACATATTTCCTCTAATAAATCTTTCCAGAACTTTACTTTTTAATCATGAAATTCATTAGCATGATAATTCTATATTTTACTTTGAATTTTAACTTTTCTGTGAGCTTAGTGATATCTTTATTTTGTTCTTGATATTATACTTGTTGCTCTGCCTGCAGTAATGACTTTTATTGAACACATATTATAATAATGT